AAGTAAGAATGGATGGGTGGAGAACGGAGAGTGGCCGGATGGCCGGATGGGGAGGTGAGAAAGAGAGTGGCTGGACGTGGATGAGGGGTGGAGTGCTCTCTGCCCCCCTCCCTCCATCCTTCCCGCCATCCGTCCCGAGCTCTGCTCTGTGGGTGGCGGGCACCCACGCACCGTGGGCTCAGCTCCCAGGCCGCCCAGACTCACTTATTTCCAATGCAGGGGTCGTTGGCCCGCTGATCGCAGAGGGGCCCCATCCACCCTTCCTCGCACTCGCAGGAGAAGCCCGTCTGGCTGCCGGGCTGGCACGTGCCATGGGCACACACCTTCCTGTGGCATGGCTCACAGCCCGGCAGGATGCCGGTCTGCATGGGCACCTTCCGGAAGTCCTGCAGCTCGCTGTTGATGTAGAGGTGCCGGATGCAGCCATGGAAGCTGGTGCCATTCTGCCCGGGGGCCTGGCGCAGAGAGGCCACGTAGTTCTTGCCGGGCATGCCTGGGGAGGGACGCGGGTCAGGGGAAAGCTTTCAGGGAGCTCCTCAGACAGCTATGTCCGAGAAATGCTGATTCTGGGACCTTCCCCCGGACCGGCAGAACTGGGAAACCGTGTGTGTGTGTGTGTCTGTGTGTATATATGTGTGTGTGTATGCATGCATGTGTGTGTGTCTGTGTGTATGTCTGTGTGTATGCCTGTACATGTCTCTCTCAGTGTGTGTCTGTGTATGCATGCATGTGTGTGTGTCTGTGCATGTCTGTGTGTGTGTCTGTGTGTATGCATGCATGTGTGTGTCTGTGTGTGTATGTGCATGTCTGTGTGTGTGTGTAGAAGAGATAGGTGCTATTGGTTTGTGTTTACAGAAGATACGCCAGGCAATTCTAATACATAGCTAGAAAGAAGGACTAGTCCATTCGTCATAAATCTTAACTTTAAAAATTTGTTTCAAACCCAACTTTGCATGGACAGGTAGGTACAGGATCCAGAAGCAGAGCTGCTCCAGAAAAGGCCATGCCGCCAGGGACCCATGCCACCCCCTCCCTCCTGGCCCTCTCCGACAGCCCTGGGCACAGGGCCTGGAACGCCCTGATTCCACCCTGTCTTTCGGATGGAGGGGTCAGGCTGCATAATCCATGGCACCTTGTGGGTTCGAGTTCCAGGTAGGCGATGAAAGGAACCCCTCCACCCTGCAGGCAAGGCTTGGTCCCCACATTCCAGAGGGTGAGTGCTGGGGCTCTCAGTGGCTATCCACCCTGGCCTCACCAAAGGCAAACTCGGCAGCCACCCCCGCTGAGCGCTGGCCAAGTCCCTGAGCTCAGGGAAGGGGCTCGTGGCTGAGACGCTCGCCCCGATTCTCGTCAAGCCGGCACCTCATCGCATCGTCTCCCCCCTGGTTAATTGACAGTGAAGTTTTCATCTTCTCAAGCATCAGGCATACAAAAGAAACTTCTTTCAAAACAGAGTATTTTCAATCTGGTAACCCTCATGTTGGCAAAATGAAGGAATCTTTCCATGGCCTAAGCCAGACCCTGAAATAGTTCCTGGACGGCATCATCCTTGAGGCAGCTGTGGGGGTCACTGTGGGGTGGGGCTGGTGGGGAGGGAGGGAGTCCCAGGCTTCAGAGCAGCAGACTTCCTGCCCACCTCCCCACCCAGCCAGCCCCGCCCACGCCTCGGCCATGCCCAGACTCTGAGCTCCCAGCCAGGGAGACCATGCTCTGTCCCCCAGAGGATCTGCTGGGTACAGGGATCAGCGACCAGAGCCATCTGGGACTGGTCCTGAGCCACCGCCCCGTTCCAATTCAATCACACCCTGCCCAGTCCTAGCCGGGACCAAGGTCAGACAGCAGGCGCGCAAAACCATTAGCAACACAGCAAACCTTTCTGTTTTGGGCTGCGTGAACTTGGGCCAGCCCTTTGTCCCCTTCCTGAGGCTCAGTTTCCTCACTGATAAAGAGCAGGAGGACCAAAGCAGTCACTTCCAAGCTCATCCTGCCCGAGAACCACCACAGGTGCCACTGTGGAGGCGGCTTCCGGCCTCAGTCTCCGGCCTGCGGTTCTGATCCCGCGCAGATGGGGGACAGCCGTCAGAAGGGCAGGACGCAGCCAGGTGACTCTGACATGGGGTCACGGCTGTGCTTGGATGGGTGCTGAAGTAGGGTCCCGAGGGTGACAGTCACATTCTAGGGGCGGACGGGTGAAGGAATCCTCTGCTCTGGGGAAAGCCCTTCCATGGACTCAGCTGATCACAGACGTGCACTACGGTGGCAGGCTCCGAGCAGACGGCGAAGTCCCGCAGCAGAGAGAGACACGCCGTCAGTGTGCTCAGTCTCAAGGGTGACGTGAACACGGGGATTCTTGAATGAAAATGTGTGTCCTCTATACAGACACTTGATTTTTAATGAAATGTCATAAAATTGAGGACTGTTTTGAGTCAGCTTTTTCATTTTCTGTTTGAATTTGCTACAGGGTGCATTCACTTGCTGGACAGAGAGAGAGAGAGAGAGTCCCCCTGGGGGGATGGACATGCCGCACGCCCTGACCCCTCAGTTCTCCTTCCGGGATTTTGTGCACACAGGCACACACGCCCAGCGCAGTTCTCCAGCATCTGGGCCCAGGACCACATAGCCAGCCCTGTGGGAGCCGTCTGCCCTCTCCTCCACTCCACTGGCTGGCCACTCCGTCTCTGCGTGCTTGACTATGGAAGTGAGTTCCAGCCTTCCCTCTGCACCGTGGCCGGCAGCCCAGTTCCATGAACAGGGAACCAACAGCTCTGTCCTGGAGAGGGTGCATTCCTCCCCGGGGCAGTCACAGGGCCGTGTGTCGAGTGAGGTCCTGGTCTACTGGTGGCCCTGGCGGGTCTTGTGCCCTGCACAGGGCTCTGCATGTGATGCGTTCCTCTCTTGTCTAATCACGTAACACGGTTCTTGGATGGCTGTGCAGAAAACTGCAGGACTGAACTGTTCGAGTCGCATACGGCATGGGGCGTTGGCCATGCCAGGAGGGTGACGCTGCCCCTCCATTCGCAGGGAGTACCTCTGCAGGGCCTGGGCCCCACACGCACGGCCTCTGAGCACTCCTCAGAGAGAGTCCCTGTTTTAATTTCTTATTTATTTTAATTTTTAAAGGTTTTTGCCATAAGGTGTGTGCACACACAGGAGATGCAGAGACAGAGAGCAGGAAAGTGAGAAATCACCCAGGGGGGATGGCCACACCACAGCTCCTACTGCATTCTCCTCTGGGGATTTGGGGCACATGCTCACAAGTGTCCGGGTCTGGGCCTCTAACTGTGGTCAGCCATGTTGGAGTCCAGAGCCTTAGCCATCTGCTGACCCTCAAGGGTCCCTGTTTTTAAACTCGGGCTTGTTTATCTGGCTCTCTGCTAACTCCGCTTCCCTGCAGTGTTCCAGGCTATGGGCTTAGTGTTCCTGGCAAAGCTCCTCTGCTGTGAGAACCCAAGGTACCGAGAGGCCACACGCTGCCCGAACACCAGTGACCCAGCACAGCCTCTGCTGACAGGGCTGGGGTGCAGGGCCGCCTCTCAGACCTGCTGGGCAGGGCGCTACGTGGATTCTTCCAGGTCCCGTACCCTCAGAGCATAGCACAGCACATTTCATTTTGAAGCTTAAATCTATTTTGTTCTACTTGTTGAAAAATGTCCAGAAGTAAACAATCCCATCTGCATTTAAGATGTTTTTGGTAGTACATCCTAAAGGAGGGATTTTTTCTTTTTTATTTGAGAGGTTTTTGCTATAGGGCGCGTGCGCTCACCAGAAAGACAGAGAGACAGAAAGCGAGAAATCACCCCCCAGGGGGGATGGCCATGCCGCAATCCCTTCTCCTCCATCCTCCTCTTGGGATCTTGGGCACGCACGCACACACGCCCAGTGTGAGTTTAAGCCACCGGGTCCGGGAATCAAACTGCAATTGACTACATGGGATTCCAGCAACATAGCCATTACGCCAACTGCTGGCCCCAGGGGTTTTAAAAAGATTTAATAAAATGGATTCTAATGAAAGTCTAATAAAATCAAGAGAAAACAAGTCAGAAGGGCCCAGAAATCAGCAAAAAGCCACAGAACTCAGACCGCTCCGTCAGCTCTGTTAGGGAGCGGGTGGCAATGCGGGCGGCTCTGGAGGTGGACAGAACTGGCCCAAAACGCGGTACCTGCAACGTAAGACTTTGTGAACTTTAAGGAGTTTATATAAAGCCCCTGATGTCGACCCTCAGGAGCTATAAAGCAGAGAAAATAATGTCGAGCTCCCGAGGTCTCTGAGGACGAAGCCCAGGAGAGAGGCGCTGCATTGGAGCAGTCCGTGTTCAGGAAATGCATGTCCTCACGGACCGCAGGTAGGCCCCCGACCTGCTTTATTCCCCAGTTCTCCTTGAGCTCCTTTCGACATACGCTTCTTTATCTCCTGTGGCCCCTAACCAAGCTTTTCCTGTAGACTGGATCAACGTTAGACTCAGTGCTATGACGTGCAAATTACACACCCCGTGATGGGTACAGAATAAATGATAGTTAGTGTCCTTTTCTACCCGTGTCACAGCTAGATGTGGACTGGGGACTGCAGAACGGCCCTCACCCACGTAGGCTCCTCTGATCTGTGCTGTTGTCCGTCTTTTGTGACTGATCGCTGTGGGTCACTGACCACGGCACGAGCTTCAGTAACTTTAGGGTTGACCTAGGATGAGGGCTACAGGGCCTAAAGACCCCTGGAATTTGGGAGAACTTACCTCCTACGTAGAGCGGGGAGTCGAAATTCAGAGTGGACTGCTTTGACAAGTTGCTGATGATTTTCGGGCTCCCTCCATCCACAGACAGGGAGAGACTCTGATCCAGGGCCAGCAGCTCCACGATGTGGAAGTTCCCATCATTGATCGTCTCCACACTGCAATGCGAAAGCAGCGTGGGTGACCCTGCGTCTATTTCCACCGAAGAGTTAAAGCACAGACTCATAAGCACTCACTGGGAGAGTATGGCCCATGTCACGTTAACGACCATTAAGATCGGTCCTTGATTTTTTTCAAAGAGAGACTATTTCAACTTCTCAGAAACTGGATACTAAATAACTTTGTTTTCCCTTGGGGAGAAACGGTGATGGGACATTTCATCATTATCCGGCCACACACTCTCAGTACGTGGAAACGCGAAGACTAATGCATGCATTTGCTCTTAAACGCCACCAAGTTCCACTGACTAAGATACTGTGTGGACACAGCCCCTACACTGGGCCAAACACCCGGGAGACCCTGTCCTGAGGGGTCTTGGGCTTCTGTTCTCATAAAGCGGTGCATCAGGCCTTAGAAGCTAACACGCACACAGATCTAGGAAGAAGCAAGTCGGCAGGGCCGCGCCCCTGCACACGTGCCAGCCTGTACTATGCTCTTCTGTCCTCATGCATTCTCACAGGGCGCCCACCGAGACCTCACCGTGAAGAAGTCCGTGTCCAGCCGCGTGCTAGGAACGTCAGAACATGAAGTGCTCAACACGGGCTGCTTTCGCCGCCAAGGCCTGAACACAGGACTCAGCACAGTACAAACGGCGTGTGCTCCACCACTGAGCGTTTACACCCGACTTCTCCCTCAGCTCTCCCAGGAAGAAACTCCTGCAGCAATTACCTGCACTCATGGGCATGCGACTGGGTACATTTACTAACTACTGAATTGTTAATAAAATAGCGATCGTCCTCTAAAAAGCTTGAATGCATCTAAAGTACGCGTGTCTGAAACTTGTCTTTGATGCTGTTTTTCCACTTCTAAGACCAGCATCTTTGTAAAATTTATATTTTCTTTATTTATGACAGAGTTCATGTGTATGCATGGCAGGTTGAGAGAGAGAGGCAGAGAGAGAGACACACAGAGAGAGGCAGAGAAAGAGACACAGAGTGCCCTCTACCGGGCCTGGTCATGGCACCGTCTCCCGACATGGTCCCCGCGTGGGATCGGCCCTCTCTCAGCCGTGAGGCCCACAGCTTATGAATAAAAAGTCAGGCAAAGGAGCAAGAACAGGCGACGTTACCTACAGTGATATGGCTGGAATATCTTCTCATAGCACACGTGGCTTTTCAATTTCCTTCTTTCCTTCCTCCCTCCCTTCCTCCCTCCCTTCCATCCTTGCTTCCTTTTTTCATTTCTTTTTTTTTTTTTGGAGAGATTTTCACTGTAGGGCGCATGCGCTTGCCAGACAGACAGAGAGAGACATAGAGACAGAAAGCGAGAAATCACCCCCAAGAGGGCATGGTCAGGCCGCAATCCCTTCTCCTCCATTCTCCTCTCGGGATCTTGGGCACGCATGCACACGCGCCCGGCGTGAGTTTTAAGCCACCGGGTCCGGGACACGAACCGCGGTCGGCTACGTGGGAGTCCAGCGACATAGCCATTACGCTAACTGCTGGTTCCCATTTCTTTTCTTTTTTTTTTTTCTTTTTTCATTTCTTAATACGTTTTTTACTTAAAATATATTATCAAATGAAAACTAATATACAGTTAAGACAAATGATCATTTTATATGTGTATTTGTCTGAACCTCAGGTGCCGTCGTGCCTTGGCATCGCTAGGAGATTGGTTCAGAGTACCTGCAGATGCCAACGCCCACAGACATACTAGAAGGGTGTAAGACTTGCTATAACCCACACGCATCCCCCTTCCACTGTAAGTAATATCTACATTACATATAGCACCTAGTACAATGTAAACAGTTCTACTGTATTCTATCTGTATTAATTTTTATTCCTGTATTATTACCAATTTCTTTCCTGAATATTTTTGATCCACGGTTGGTTGAAACTGCAGATGTGGAGGGCCAATTATAATTGTTGCCTCTTTTACTAAAAACGTCTGGAATAACTTTTCCTAATCGGTGTGTCGTAAACAAGAGGCATAAATTAAATCGAGATGTTTGTGGCTTGGACCTCACACCGGATTCCTCTCTGAGACAATCCTCCAGCAGAAGCAGGGACTTTGGGTTCCGCGTGAAGAGTATGAACCCCCTGATCATCATTTGAGGTGAAATAACTATTGTGTTCCACAGGAAGCCAGTAATTCCATAAATTCATGTTTGTTTCCACACTCCGAATATTCCCAGGTAGGCGAGCTCACCACCAAAATGACTGACCGATCTCCACCCTGCTTTCCCAGAATGAGCACGGAGGCTCGAAGATGTGGAGTCTTGAAGCATAGTGAGATGATAAAAACAATATCCCTCAATGGGAGGCCACTGTGGTCAGTGTATGTCTGACCTACGCACTCCCTTGTCACCAAGTGACCTCCGGGTGGCCTGCAGATGTGTGTGACCCCCCCCATGGGTTGCCTGTCACGTGTAGCATTCAAATTGCAATTGCTATTTACAGATGGTTTTAACATGCGAGTTGATATTTAAAGAGAGGAATTTACATTAGAAAACAAATGGTAAGGCAGATTTCTGCCTTTCTTTGAAAAAAAATCAAGACTCTGGCTGAGCCAGATGAAATATTTTCATGTGCCAACATCAAAGCTGTTTGTAATAGTGTTTTCCTGAAAAGTTAGCTCTTGTGAAGAAGAGAGAGAGCAGGTTCTTTCCTTATGCTTAGCCTGCTTAACTGATTTCAGTTACCTGCCTGGAACTGACTGGATAGGACTCTGTAATCCCTTCTCTAAAGGGTGGTCTTATTATTAACCTAGTATCTTGTCACAAGGCTGACAGACATTTGGTCCTGAGACCCAACAGAGGCGCTCTGATGGGAAATCTTATGCAAAAAGCACCCAAATTTAGCTCCTACGAATGCTCCCTCTTGCACGTCTTCAATCTTATCAATGTCACTATTACACGAGAATATTTCCTGACGGGACAATCATGATTACCTGTGACAGAACTGTGTGAGTCCGTGTCCTTACTCTCTGCATGCTCCAGGAGAGCTGGCACTTTGTTAAAGCTTAGAGCCGGGCCTTGCACATAGCAGGCGCTCAAAAAACTGACGGGTCACGATGTTTTGTACCCTGCCTTTGTTTGCCTGAGCTCCCCCAGCTCCGGCTCAGTTTGCTCTGAGCCCCAGGAGGCTCACAGGAGCTCTAGCTGGCATCAGTAAATCCCTTGTTTTCTGGCATGGAGACTGGCCAGTGGAGGTTATTGGGAGGAAGGAGTGTGAGGCTGGTGTTTCAAATGCTAATTCCCTCCAGAAGGACTGAGGGCATTCCCATCCCTCCACTGAAGGCCCCACCCTGTCAGGCAGACCTGTCCTAAAAGCCTTCGAGCAGGGACTTCCATACCCCGTCCCTCCCTCAGTCCTTCAGGCACACGGACAGGGACGGCAAAGGACAGGGACCGGAAAGGCGTCTCTGGCTGGCAGCCCCAGGTCATGCCCCACACGTCTTTGTACCCAGTCCCCTGGTCGACCTCTTCCCAAATTATCCAAATTATCCACAAGTGCGCCATGCGTTCCTGCCAGACCCCTAAACCTGCCCTACCGGGGAGCGCCCGCGGTGGCGGTGGCCGGATTCTTCCCTCCCACCCCTACCGAGTAACAAGAGAAGCAATTCTGCATGGAACAATGGTTTCACCTGTCCCAGTAACAGAGACCTTCACCTGTAAATGGCAGAGGCCGGATGGGAGCCTGTGTCGTAGCTGGCGCGGACGCGCCCCCGGTACAGCTCCACCGCGATGTGGTCTTTGTCACCCTTGTACAGGAGGATCCCGCTGTCCTCGTCTGTGGCAATCTGTGGGAAGTAACTGGACGTCACCAGGCTGCTCAGCTAGGCAGACAGTGCGTCCGGAAGGAAGAGCAGACCAGGAAGAGGTTTTCCTGGGCTTACTTTTTTTTTGTTATGGCTGGACAAAGTGTTGATGCATGCCAACATTCTTACTGGAATGGCAACTTGTTCCTAAATCGCACTGCTGCAAATAGATTCCCGAAGAAATGGAACAACGACAGTGACAAGTACTTAAGTGAACGTGCGGGGTGTGCCGGAACCTGGCTGGGGCCTTCCAGCTGCTTCTTTTCTGGGGCTCTCGCTGCTGCTTTTTTTTTTTTCCTTTTTTTGGGAGAGGTTTTTGCTATAGGGTACGTGCGCTCGCCAGACAGACAGAGAGAGATAGAGAGACAGACAGAAAGCGAGAAATCACCCCCTGGGGGGATGGCCATGCCGCAATCCCTTCTCCTCCATTCTCCTCTCAGGATTCTGGGCACATACGCACACACGCCCGGCGTGAGTTTAAGCCACAGGGTCTGGGACTCGAACCGTGGTCTACTATGTGGGAGTCCAGCGACATAGCCATTATGCTAACTGCTGGTCCCCCTCTCACTGCTTCTTTACAAGCTTTATGGATGGCGCTGAAAGGTGAAGGGTGAGTGTTCTGAAAAGTTGGGAGTTACACCCCACATATGGAACACACTGTGTGGTGGGGCCAGGCACGGGGGCATTTCTGCTCTCATCCCACTCTTTGGCCCCTTAAGGACTTTTAAAAGACTAGGTGAGTAAAAGTCAGGACTGCAGCAGAAACACCACTGCGTGCTTGCCGAAACCACTCGGTGCGGGGAGTGATGGCAGGTGGGGACGGGTGCCCCGGGCTCCTCTTCTTCATGGCTGCCAAAGAATCCCGTCCTCCCTGCAGGGAAGGGTAGGGTCTAAGGGACACGGACTAAAGTCGTAGAATCAAGACTGCATTTTGCTGTTCAAATTAAACTCTTTCTTTGAGATGAAATAGACATGTGGCCCCAGAAGGACCCAGGGCCCACACTTCCCTCCTCTACGGTAACCTCTTTCCCAGGCGTCGGGAGGACTTGTTCAAGGCACACGGTGACCTGGTGGGATGACGTGAAGCCGAGCTTGCTAAGCTCTCAGGGGTCCTTGGGGGGTCTGGCTGAGTTCAAGGCTGAGCCAGGTGCCCCGTCCCACTCGGCAGCATGTTTCCTGAGGGAACCCCCTTCTGGAAGAGCTGGACAGCAGCCCGGTACAGACGAAGAATGCAATGCCTGTGCCCGTGTACCCAAGCACCACCCAGAGAGGCATATTTTGTCGCTGTGTGCTTCTTTCCTAGACTCAAGTAGGAAATAAAAATACCCGGCTTCGCGAGGTTGGAAAACGCAGGTGCGGAGAAGGACTGAAGGTGCCCCGCCAGGAGTGGCCCTCGTGCCGCGCAGCTTCTCCTGGTCTACTTCGGAAATGCTCTTGCGACCCTTCACAAATACCACGGGTTCTTATCTCTGAAGCTGCATGCGGCCTCAGGTCAGGCAGCCCTGCTACAGCGGGACCCCTTACCTGCAGCGTGATGTTCGTCTGCGGCCGAGCCTTGGCGGAAGGGATCTGCAGGTAGGACTCCTTGTTCACGAAGTTCACACTGACCAGCTTCTCGCACTTCTCCCCCTGGTAGCCAGGCAGACACTGACAGGTGGGCTCGTCCGTCCTGACAATGCACTGGGCCCCATTCTGACAGTCGAAATTGTCACAGGGGCTGGTGCGGGGGAGGACCATGGGAGGGGAGAACTCACAGAACAGGCCGCTGGAGGACAGAGAGGAAGCACGCGTCACCTAGAGGTGGCCCAAGAGCACTGGGCGGAGGGGGCGGGCCGAGCACACGCAGGGACGCGCTGCGCCTCACCTGTAGCCGTCAGGGCAGGTGCATGTGTAGCCGTTGACGGCGTCGGTGCAGTGGGCCCCGTTTCTGCACTTGTTGTCTTCGCAGTCGTCAAAGTCGATGTCGCAGTGCTCGCCTACGTACCCCGGGGTGCAGTCGCATCTGTGTGGACAGAGCTCCGTGGGTTCAAGGCCAGCCAAAGGAAGTAGGACACTTGCACTTAATTTGGAAAACATGGCATGGCGGGGGGGGGGGGGGGGGCGGGTGGTTAAGGTGCTGGACTCCCATGTGGCCAACTACAGTTCAAGTCCCAGACGTGGTAGGCTGCAAATCATGACAGGTGCGTGTGCATGTGTGGCCAAGGTTCTGGGAGGAGAGCGGAGGAAAAGGCATTGCGGTGTGGCCATGGCCCCGGGAGGGGAGTTTCACTTTCCTCCTCACTGTCTGTCTCTCTGTCTCTCTCCCCAGCGAGTGTGTGCATCCTAAGGCACAGATCTCTTACAAAAAGGAAAGAAAGAAAAAGGAAGAAAGAAAGAAAAAGAAAGAAGGAAGGAAGGAAGGAAGGAAGGAAGGAAGGAAGGAAGGAAACACGGCACCATCTTCTAAAAAGTTTATTCATTTATTTCTTCCATGAGAGGAGGAGAGAAAACGAGAGGGGGCCGTTCCCAACAGGGTCTTCACGTCATGTCCCACCCCCAGTCTTGGCCAACCTAGACCACAGCATCACACACAGGCCTGGTCACGGAGGGCCAGGACCATGAACCCAGGGCCTCTTCCACGTGGGTTCAGATAGGTCCCTGCTGTACCACTGCCTAGCCCCAAAGTGGTACCATTGTTAACAAACAAGTGAGTGGATGCCTAGAAGCTCCTAGAAGATAGTTCTGGTCCGCAGAACCTGCTGGCTTCTCCCTGTGACCCACTGGAGGGCTGTGCTCGATCTCTGAGAGCAACGAGCCTCCGCGCCCAGATAGAACCTACGGTGGGGCCAGGGTTCCTCTCCACCCCTGCACAGTCCCCTCCCTGCCCCTCTCCCTCCCTTCCTTTCTCCTCCCAACTTTGTCGTCTATACTGCCCTTTGTGTTCACTTCTGCCCGACGCGTGTGAGATAAGAGGTGCTGTGTTATAAAACTGACCAGAAACAGTAAGCATTTCATATTTACTTGTAAACACGATTGACGCTTTAAATTTCCCAGTAGAGACCAGGTGAACTGGAACAAAACCAAATTTTAAGAAAATATGCATAATTTTTAGGTTTTTGAATTGGGTGCTTACATTCAACAGAGAAAGACAGAGAGAGAGACAGTGAGACGGAAAGTGAGAAGTCACCCTCCGGAGGGGATGGCCATGCTGCCGTCCCTTCTCCTCGATTCTCTTCCTGGGATTTTGGTCCTGTATACACATGCACCTGGCATGCTTTTCTTTTTTTTTTTTCTTTCCTAAAGAATTATTTTAAAAAATTATTATTTTAAATTTGTGATAGGGTATGTGCGCTCACCAGAGAGAGAGGAAGTGAGAAAGCCAGAGTCCAGGTTGAATACTCAAACCATGGTCGGCCATGGGGGAGTCTAGTGCCTTAACCACTATGTCATCTGCTAACCCCTTAAGAAAACATGTTGATATTCATTCCCTGGTCCACAATGAATCTACATAATCGTTAAGGCTGCCCTTCGGGTGGGGGAGTGGCTCCAACTCCTGGGTCCCGTCCTGTGAAAGCTTCCCAGCCTGCTCGCTGCAGTGGGGCAGGGCAGAAGGGATCGGAGCCACACTGTGGTGAAGACTCGTGTGAAAACCAGTGGAAAAGCTGCGAGCGTTTTCTACCGCCAGCCCTGTTCCGAGCACTTGGCATAGATGAAGTCACCGACTCCTCCCCATGGCGTTGTGGCTGGCGATGGTGACACTTGGGATACCCTCACGTTTGTGCTACAGCGAGAAACCTGGGGGACCCTGCCCAAGGACGTCCAGCTTCTAAGTAAGTCCTACAGCTAGGGATGGAACCCAGGAAACTCACAAGACAGCCTGGGTGTGAGCCGGCGCCCCGGGGTGTCGGGTAACTCATTCCTCCAAGCACCTGTTAGAGTCTCTCGTGCTGACCGCTGGAGCCTCCAACCAGGGCACAGAGGACCCAGGACCTCACAGCTGCCCAGGAGAAGTGGTGTGGCCCGAGAGCGATCCCCACCCAACGCTCTGCCGAAGGCACAGGGGTCGGGCCCTTGACGAGCAGGGCAGCCCTCCTGCACCCTTCCTCTGACGACACTCCGCGTGGGATTTATTAGGTTTACGCACTGGGCTTCTGTGCGTTTGTTTGGGGTTTAAGAAAAGGGGTCACTGATTTAAAACAATAAATAGACCTGGAAACTTCGGTTTAGAGACTTTGCAGTTACTCAGGACTGCGTTTGCAGCCTGGCTGTATTCCTAAATGTGTGCTATATGTTCTTCCCTTTAATCACCGTCCCCCAACTTTATTAGGGTATACTTGAGAACTGAAATTGTGCACATGTAAGAAGCACAGTGTGAGGCTGCATGTATGGGCACACTGTGAAAACGGCCACTGCAATCCTGCTAGCTCGGGTCCGCCACCTCGGAGCTCCCCCCCCCCCTCCCTCCCTCCTCTGTTTTCCTTTTTTTCTTTTGTGGTGAGCAGACTTAAGCTCTCCTCTCTTTACAAACTCCGAATGCATCTTCCTGTTCACGACAGGCGCTGTGCTGCACGTTAGGTCTCCAGGGCTTATTCGTCTTGCCGCTCAGTCTGCACCCCACTTTCCCACTTCAGGCCGCTGGTCACACTGTGCTACCCTGGGTCTGTGAGCTCATTTAAAAATTCCACATGGAAGCAGGATCGGGGCGTGCTTGCCTTTCTGCACTTGGCATAAAATGCACGTCACCGCGAGTGAATTACTCCATCTCTCTAAATGTTCCTTTCCTCATCGTAACATGTGAATAGTAACTGTCTCCACCTTGCAGCCTTGTTAAAATTAGATTAAACCTAAACCTCATCCGTAAAGTACTAATAGAGTTTCTGATACATACTGCAGGATCAATAAATGGTAGGGTTTAAAAAAATAATTCTAGGGACCAGCAGATGGCATAATGGTTACATCGCTGGACTCGCATGTAGTCAACCATGGTTCGAGTCCCAGACCCAGCAGCTTAAAACTCACGCCAGGCACATATGGGTGCATGCCCAGAATCCTGAGAGGAGAATGGAGAAGGGACTGCGGTGTGGACATCCTCCATGGGGAGTGAGTTCTCACTTTCTGGCTCTCTGGTGAGCACACGTGCTCTATAGCAAAAATCTCTAAAATAATAATTCTATATGAACCTTTATAACTCTATAAAAGTCTTTATGGCTCAGACTGCACTAATTATCTACATTTCTATTTCAAAGCCATGAGGACTGGAGGAAGAATAATTAAAAACACTGAAATGACTGTGGCATGACCGAACACGGGGGGTTTTGTCTGAGCGTGTTAAACCAGGAGGGCGGAGAATAACAGCGGATGGTGGGCACAGGCCACCGCGAGTCACAGCCAGACCCTCAGCTGTGCGTGTAGGAGTCCCGAAATAAAACCAGCTCAGCGGCCTCGGCTTTCCTGCAGGGGCCCAGCCAAGAATAAACAGCAAGGCTGCGGTTCAGTGGCCCTAAGTGGAGCACGCATTCTCGGGTAGACGGAGAGTTGAAGGAAGAGGCCCCGTCAGAGCGGATGCGAGCCAGCACTAAGAGAAGACGCGCTTTGAAACACTCTGAATTATTTATCTGAGCAAAGAAATCGAAGTGCAGGCTGAGGAACCACACGCTCACCGCAGTGGCTGGCTAGGAGTTTTTATATTCCGTGCCCTCCACACACCGTTTTTCAAGCCCGTTAGAGCGCGGAGTTGCCTTAGGACCAAATCGTTGTCTTTCTTTTGCTCCTCAGATGGACTTTCAAGATAGAAAGAAAAATCCTTAAAGTCCGTATCGCACATAAAGCCTGCCATACTCCCCCAACTCTATTACCTGACTCGGGGTGAGGAAGAAAGCAAAGAATATAAAATGCAGTGTGTAGACGCCCAAAAGCCGACTAAGTAAGATGCATGCTTGAAAATACTGCTTACGGCATGTCATGCGCTAAAAATATCTCGGAGCGATTTAGGAGATTTATGAGATACATAACACAGCGAGAAAGCACCGGCTCTGTTAGCTCGGGAAGGAGAAAATGAGGTGGAAGCACAGTACGCTGCCCCAATGACGTTTGTCAGTAGAGGCTTTTTTGAGCAGCTTCGTATCCTATAAAGTCCCTTTTCTTCCTGCAACGACCTGTCCCACGACGCGCGATTACTCATAGGAGGAGAGCTGTGGGCCGTGCCCTGACGTCAGCGTGTGCGGCTGCGTATGTGCAGCCGTGGAACAAGCTCACGAATGTCTGCGGAGAACGGTGGGTTTCCAGATCAGCTCATCCGTAACCCGGCAAAATGCACATTTGCGAGTGTACAGTCTGACAGCAGCAGCAGATGTTTAATGAAAGATCAGTCTTCAGATGCTCTCTTATTTTCTAATAGTCTCCATTACATCTTCCTAATGCGTTATCTTATAATGACAACACACGGAGCTCTACGGATCTGTGTAGTAGCTAAAAAGTTCCGGGAAATTTGCCTTCCTGACTCATTTCTCTAGGAGAAAAGGCTATTTCCCAGGTCAGCGATGCACTTTCAATTTGCAAAACTCAATTAGGGCAAGATCAATGATGATTTAGAGTTTTTGGCTTAATAAAACGTGATGCAGAATTCTGAATGAAATAAAAATGTTAATAAAAGCTGGATGCTCCCTTGGGTTGTAAACTAAAGTGAAATGGAAGAGAATCAAACCTGTTCTTTTGTTGTTATTTATTTTAATTTGACCAGAGAAAGGGAGGGGGGGAGAGAGAGAGAGATGAGAAAGTAAGCCTCCAGTCCAGGACTTGAACCATGGCCAGCCATGTGGGAGTCCAGCACCCTTAACCACCACGTCACCTGCTGACCCCCTTTTTTTCCAACAAGACAGCCAATGAACCTGCAAGTGCTGCTACCGTACCTGTATCTGTAAAATGTAAGATAAAAACCAAACTTGAAACAAAAAGAACACTTGAGAGTAAGCATTTCATGTGGGTTGAGCTTAGAAAGGCACGGCAACAGGGGTGTGTCTCCGACACGCTTCCCCCCGACTTAGCGTGTCTGATGACCTGCTTGGTAGATATCAACTTCTTAAAGTTCCAACTGAAATCTCATTTCCTCTTGTAAAGCTGTTCCTGATCTGAGTAATTTCTCATTTTCGGAATCCGATGGCAATTAGGTCTGGGTCATTTCACGAGAAGATGAAGGGTGGGAAAGTGCGTGGTTACCCAGCACCGCGGAGACAAAGGCGTGTCACTGCGTGTGCCCTGGCCGGGCAGGGGCTCATTCCAAACCAGGTGAAAGGGCAGACAAAGCTACCTGACCGCTGTCTGTACGAGCGCGTCTCCCAGGGACCAGCCTGTGTCACTCCGAGGACTCTAGTCCATGTTCTGCTGTAGACCAACCGCAATGTGAATGGGCCGCTGAGTGCCTGAGCAGCAACACGGAGCAGAAAACCCGCCCACTGGAGAGTCTGCAACCCAGCTCTAGCTCCGCAAGTGAGTGAGCCTGGCAGCTCGGGAGAGCCGCCACCACTCAGGGCCGTGGCTTTCTTGG